GGTACCGAGAGCCGGGAGGCGGGGGTGCAGGTGGAGCTGCAGGGCTCCGAGCTCTGGAGGAGGTTCCACGAGATCGGCACCGAGATGATCATCACCAAGGCGGGAAGGTAAAGGGGGACCCGCGCGGTCGCTCCCGGGCGCTGTCCCGGGCTCGGACGGCTGGGGGGCGGCGGGCTCATCAAAGAACCGGGGGGAAAACCCCCCAGATTTACGAGGCAGGTAGATGGCGATAATTTCAGCTGGGCACGGGAGCATGTGGGGTTTCGGGTTTCCTGTTCATTAGGGCGAGGTCTGGGAGCTCCGCGTCCTTCTGAAGGGAAACTTTTTCCCCTTTCCATGTGGATACACATGGTGAAAACCTGGGGAGTATAAAAAGTATCTGAACTTATTAGAAATTACAAAAACATATTTTATTGAATCCATATGCTGCCTTCTGCATTTTCAGAGAGGCTTTATTAATGATTGAAACGTAGCCTTAAACAGCACAAAGCAACATTTGTCTTCAGAGAGTCCAGTCGGGAATTTTTCTGTTTTATCTTACAGGTGCACTGAAATAACAGCGAAAACTAGTTAACCGCAGTCAGGTTTACCCTCCTGCTTATTCAGAAATAACGGAGATAGGATTTTTTCTTTCCAGTAACGACTTTTAATTGGTATTTTTATATATATATTTTTTCAGAACAGCGGCAAATACTGAATAAACTGGAATGGCTTTCAGGTTTAGAAAATACTGAAAAGTACCGTTCGTTAGCTTGCAGTGAGCTCGTCACTAGGATGTTTGTTTTGGTTTGGCTTGGTTTTTTTGGCCTCACGAATTAATTTTCTTGATAAAAGTCATGCCAAACTTGAGCTAAGAAGTGGATTTTTATGTTAAAACCACCCCATCAGTTAATTACTACCCTTTTCCCCGCAGAAAGATCTAAATAGTGAACTTTTTTTTTTCTTTAAGAAATTACCTTGTACATTCGTTTCTGCTTTCAATAAAGAAGTTTTACTATACCTTTCAAAGACAGAGTAGCTCTTGCACTTCACCTTTAGTAAGTCACAGACAGGAAGTCCCGTCTCAATAAAGACCATATTGTTGGGTTACAGCATGGCACGTTGGCTTTTATAACCGCGTCCTTGCAGCGTTATAATTGTACCACCGTGGATTTAGCTTTCTAATTTGCTGCTACAGAACTGATACACCATTTGCTGCTGTCAGTTGAAACTTCAGGGGCAATTTGCATTTCCGTAAGTATTGGTCTTCCTGAGCGGAGGTGGTGTTTGCACCTCTCCAGAAATAGATTTCTAGTTAAAATCTCAAACGGGCTTCAAATGAGTGTACTGCGAAAGTCCGTGTCTCAAAACCAAATGATTTACTGTCTAACAATAAAGTTGAAATGATGTGGTAATAGCTGTACTCCCAAAGCGTATCCCAAAACATACGAAGCATTGTTCGAGTAAATGCACTTTAGAAATCTGTTTTGACATATCGAATGGGCCATTTCATGGCTATGTAACTATAATCGTCCAAAAGGACTCTCTAGGCTAAAAGGAAGAACGAGAAAAATCCCACGAACTGGTTGCTTTTCCTAAACAACCATTCCCGAGTCTGTTTCACATTAAAAATGACCTCTCTCTTTCCGTCTTCAGGCGGATGTTTCCCGCAATGAGAGTGAAGATCTCAGGTTTAGACCCACATCAGCAGTATTATATTGCTATGGATATTGTGCCAGTGGATAACAAAAGATACAGGTATGGTGACTTTAAGGCAAAAAACATATGATGCAAGCCATAGGGAGCTTAGCTGTTGGAAGAAAACATTAGCACTATATAAATTAGCAGAAGGTGGTGTTTAACTCTCCTTCAGATTCCTATTTTCATCCCAGTACATTTAAAAAAAAAAATTGTGCTAAGTATGCAAAGCCAACTAACATTTCTGTTGAAGCTCTTAATACATTTGCCTTATGTTGTGTATGTGCTGAGGGCAGATGCTCAGGTTTTTTGGCTTTCAGAGAGTGCAGTTCTAGTGTGATGAGGAGATGTTATCATATTTTATTCCACGTCATGTCACTGGGCATTATTTTCTATCAACAAATAAATCTGAAACTGCACGTTGTTCTGGTGCTAAATGGCATTAACATTAATAGCACTGATGTCTGATTTAATGACGTATAAGCTTTCTTGGTCATGCTTCAAATTGATTATATAATTTAAAATCTGTTTATCACACAGATATTTGGTTGTTTAGATTCACAAAGGGTAATGTTTCTAATTACTGTTTTTTAAAGAATTGATGGCATTGTTGTCTGAAGAATAAGGTCAGGAACAAAAGTAGTTGCTCTTTGACCATTTAAGAGTAGGAATTATGTGCTGAAACTCTCACTATGGTGAGGGCAGTCCTATTGGGAGGGAGCTATTTGGACTCAGCTGAAACCACGGCTCATCCTGTTTGCAGGATCAGGCCCGCAGCAGTTACTGTTGTGAGCTGGAGATGTTTTGTAGCTCTTGCTGTACAGATGCGATCCCATGCTCCATAGTAGCCAGGAGGGGCCTGGCCGAATAGTTCAGTGGAGGCAGGATCAGGTCCTTACTAATTGCTGGTTTGATTGTTTCAACCT